GAATTTCATAAATCTGATCTTTCATTAAAAAGAGAAGTTTTGCATTACCTAAACACAACAGCAAAAGTTTCGCAAAAGGAGAACCTTCTTCCAGCAGTTTAAGTCGGTGATGAATGTTTTCCTCAGAATAACAAAAACATAAGAAAAATAGTCTAATCACTGAATTTTCTGTTAAAAGAAGAAAAAGGTCATAAAGGTAGAAAAGTTGAAATTTGCCAGATTTTGACTCGCCTAGACCCTTCAAATGAATGAGAGCCAAGTTATCAGTGACCAAGAAACCCTTTGTCTAGATAACATATTTCAAAAAAAAAATTGCAATACACTGCATTATTAATATTAATATAATGTCCTATAACGTAACATTAATTTTTTAATAACAGGAATGGATTTAATAAAAAAAGAAACTCAAATTGACAATATATTTTTGAATGCGCCGCCTCCACCAATACAAGAACGCCAACCGGTCCTTCACAAACGCATAAAATCACCCCCTTCCAACGCAAACACTAAATAAAACCTAAATATGTGATATTTCAAGAAAAAATGCGGTTATCTTTTGCAAAAAAAAAAAACTATTTTGGGGGAAAAAGATTCCAATTTATATATGGAGGGGCGTAAAAGATAAAGCAAAGCATAAAAGCCAAATAAAAAACTTTAAGAAAAAACATTTTTTAACCCCCAAGGATAAGATACCAAAAATAAAATAAATCCCATAAAACCCCAAAAAAATAAAATATATACTTTGGATTTATAAACCAAATTTTCTCCAAGAATACGCATATAAAGTGGACAAAACCTTTTAGACATAATCCCAATGGTTGAAAAGGAAAAGAAAAAATAGAAACTGATTCCAGAACAAGATTTTGGGGCAATGGCCAAAAATATAAACCATTCTTGGAAAGATTTTAGATGTATTAACACTTCTCTAAGACCCGAAAGCTTATCCCTATATGCCGGGGTGGGGGGTGATTAGATTTCATTTACTTTTGATTAAAAATCGAAATGAAATTAAAATCCTTTTTTGTTAATTGGTTCCATTTGCGTCGAAGCAGCATAACTCACAGGTTAACTTCCAGAACCAATAAATGGAATTCTTCAAATAGGAATATAGACCTGGAATAATGGCAATCTGTGCTATAATATGCTTTCGTGTAACGCGGTGTAAGGTGTAACGGGTTTGGGGTTGTTGCGATGACTTTTGTTGGCGTTGGGAACTTTACTGTGACTTTAAGTTTGCCTTGAAATTAATTGAAATAAGTTTGATGATGGTGATTTGGCTGAGTATTTTTTGAATGATGCGATCATTGTGCACTCAAAACGCTGACATTTTCGGGTTTAGGCTCATATAGAAAAACGTTTCAACAATGGCTAAGATTGTGGATAAATTTTCGCATATTCAAACAACGAGGGGTAATTAATATAAAAAATTCCCCCACTTATCATATTTCATAATATTCATATCGCCACCACGTCTTCCATATTTTTGTTCCTATCGACGGGGGAAAGTATTGATCCACTGAATTATAATTCTTCATACATCAATTAAGATTATATTCGACCCAAAGTAAAACCTTTTTCATTTCATCGGGCCGATTTGAATCTAAAGAAAAACTTATGTTCAAACAATTTTTATAAATATCACACTAATCTGCGAATAAATGCGTATTTTGTTGGCGATTTGCAACTTATTTCCTCGCGAAGGAAGTTGTGGAACGATATTGCTGCACAAAATAGCCTCACCACCTTAAATAAAAATTTACGCATCACCAGCAGATAGAATAGAACCCAAAATAAATATTAAGCGCTTATTAATGAATTCTATTTAAATCGTCATTCTCGACTTCTTCAAAGAAAATATGAATTCCTATTTTGATCAAACCATTGGTTTCATCAAAACCATGGGAATTATGCAAATTATTCTGCAGAAATATTCTAGAGTCTGATGGAAATGGAAGCTAAAATATATATAGCTAGCCGTAAATCCTTTATCAAGACTAATATTTTTCTTCGCCATGCGTTTGGCTTAAGGCAACCATAAAAAAAACTTGCAAAAATATTAAGACAATTGGGCCACTCACAGCGGACAAAATGCAGTATGACGCATAAAACAAGGTATGTTTCAAGCGGGGCGAATGATAGACTCAACTCTAGTTTTTTTAAACGCCAGGGTGGCCTACAAAAACAGATTTTATCTATTTTTAACGCGGAATTTTTTGTAAAACAATAGAGATTTGTCACATTTTTATTTCCGAAAATATGTCAAATATAAAAACGGGCAACGCCAAGCTAGAAAATCATAATTATTTCCATCAAAAATCATTGATCCAGTATAAATTCTCTTTAGTTTGTTGGCTTTTTATTTTAAGACCCCCCACTCCCCCCTTATTCCGAAAGAAAATATGAAATCCATAATGGTTTATCCCCATGTCTCCATAGAAATGGTTGCTATGGAATTTCAGGTTTGCTTTATTTTAGAAACGATTTTTTAATTTAAAGGCCACGCTAGGTAATTGTAAATGATCGGAAATGTTTTACTCTTTTTTTTTTAGAGTAAATTTGATCGAGGGCGGACTTTCGGGATGAAAGTTTGCTATTTATTTGTTTGCGTGCGAAAACAGAGCGTCCCCTACCCAACTTGCCAATAATAATATTTTCAAGTTTAAATTTAATTTGTTTCAAGTTTTTACACCGAAGCTTTTGGCTATAGGCTCGATGTGGATGAAAACTTTCCTGAGTTTCAAGTGACTACTTTTCAACATGCGATACAGTGGCGCTCGGTTTTTCTTTAAACAGTTAAGAGGGCCGCTGGTCGTTAGGGCCCCTCGGGCGCGGGTTCCTTGGTTTTGATTTGGAGCTGATTTCATAAGTTTCGGGCGGTTGGGGCCATCGTGTCTTGCTCTGGCTTATCTCGGAGGCATAAGCACATACTTTGGGTTTGTGTACAAACGGCTTTTCAGGGAAGGGTATCAATGCTTTCCTATTTTTTTTTTGTGAGCCTTATCTTCGTCGGGCGCAATTAGAATGGAGCTGGTGTAAATTTTTGGAGCCATATAGGAAAATTGTCACTACATTTTTTTTTGTTTGTTGCTTCAGAGACGACCTTATGGATGGATTATTTTATTGACAACTTTATACATTATAGGGTCCAACAAATTGCCTCTATGCTGTTAATTAGACGGCCTACTTCTAAGTTATATGTAATCTCCTGTTAAATTATTAGTACATGATAGTATCGTGACAATATCTCATAAAACCTTCAGAATGTTTGGTACATGTTTGTGAATTATAATTAAAAATCATTATTATTCTATTATTATTATTATTATTGTTTTTAATAAGGTTCAAGTAGATTTTTTTTTGTCCTCATTAAGGAGGTTAGTACAACATTAATATACCATTCAATCTAAATATTAATAGATGCATATATATACATATATATATACTTACTTATAAATATAGTTTTACACACAGACTCGAACCATGGATTGTGTGATCAATTTTTTTAAAAATAAATCCAAGGTACATGATGGAAGGAAATGCACTATGGTTCCTGAAAGAGCCTTATTTGAAAAGACGAAAGTTATTTATGAGTCCACACTTCTAACCTTTAAGGGTGTTGACGGTTACGATGTTTATAATTGCTCTGTGCCTTTTAAGATCAATGGTAAATTTCATATTCTAGGTCGAATTGAGCGAAGACACGAGTGGGTTAATTCTTATGTTTGTCTTTTTCTAGAATCTGGCAAGGATGAATACACTTTGGTTCCTGATTCCATGATGTGGCAATTAGAAGATCCATTTGTTTCAAAACTTCAGGGAGAAATGGTGATTGGCGGAACAAGAGTAAAAAAAAATCAGGGAAAGGTCTCAGACTATGCCACAGACTTTTATCGAGGAGTACACAACGACCTTGTCTACTTTACATCTGGTCCAACAAAAATGAAAGATGTCCGCCTTGTGGAACTACAAGATGGAAGAATTGGAGTATTTTCACACCATAAATTTACGAATACATGTCTTACAGGTTTTACGATTGTCAATAATTTAGACGATTTAAGTGCTGAGTCTATTTATTCTGCAACGCCTATTGATCACTCTGCTTTTGGTGATGCGTGGGGAGGTGTGAATCAGGCTTATCTGTTGACAAGTGGAAAAATTGGATGCATTTCTCACCATGGTTACCTTGCAGACGGTGAGGAAGACATAATTAATGTTTATTGTGCTACTTCATTTGTTTATGAAGTCACGACAAATAAGGTTTACAGCTACAAAATTATTGGAACAAAACAATGCTATCCGTATTGTCCTTTCAAGGCACCTCGCTTAGTCGATTGTGCTTTTGCTTCTGGTATAGTTATGCGAGATGACGGAAAATGTGATCTCTACTGTGGATTAGGGGATACCTGTGAGGGACGCCTTGTAATTGATTATCCTTTTCAAGGGCACGGTGAAGTAATTGATTCACTTGTATTTTAAGAACTGTATTCTATAGATTTGAATTGAGCCTTTGCTTTTTCTTAAACCACTAACTACGGTGGTGTGAAATCTTGTATCATAAAATGTTACGTATTGAATGAAGTAGCGTTTTTTAAAGAATTTCTAAAGAAATTTTTGATTATTTAAGTTGTTAAAAGAGTCTATTTTCCCTTTTCTCATTCTGTCACGTGTCTGGCTCTTTGTTGTAAATGCTTGCGTTCTATTTTGTATCTCAATAATAATAATAAAATTATTCTGATACTATTGTGTTACTATTTTTTTTCTATATTACTAGTCACATATGATGATATTTTTTCACTATCAAAAAATATAAATTTTGTGCTAATATCATGATAGGCGAAAGTAAAACAAGAACTCTCATTTCTTTCTAAATTTATGGGATCCATATGTATCTAGTGTATATACTTAAATGGATTTATATCTAAAGTGGATTAAAGATTCAAAATGTAACAGTAATTATTATATATATATATATATATATATATATTAGCTATTAATATTCTTCGATTTTCATCTGTTAATTATCACAGTGCATATATCACCGATATTAATATCTTCATTATTTTGATGAGTAGACGATACAAGCCATGAGCAATCTTTGCCTTTTTCCTTTCTTTGCCAGTATTTTGTAACTATAGTATCGCAATAAAACTTTTTCAAACTTATATTTATTTATAATTAATCTCCTCTCCATCTCCATAAAAGGAAAAAATTGTAGAAACAAAAATTCACATTCTTAAGGATGGGAGGGGTATTTCTATCAAAGCCCTGCACATTGGTCCCAATAAAAGAAAAGTTTGAGCAAGAAAAAAAAATTTACGAGGGCGCTTTGCTCACATTCAAGGGTGTGGATGGTTTCGATGTGTACAACCCCTCTGTTCCTTTTCAGTACAAAGGAAAGAACTATATTTTTGGACGTGTAGAAAAGTTTGACGAATGGGCTCAGTCAACTGTTATATTATTTGAAGAGACAAGACCTGATGAATACACACGGGTGTTGAATTCAATAACTTGGAATCTAGAGGATCCATTTGTTGTGAAAATTCATGGAGAGATGATCTTTGGTGGGACTCACATTACTAAAAGCGCTGGAAAAATACTTAACTACTGGTGTGATTTTTATCGCGGTACACCTGAAAATTTGAAATATTTTGCTTCAGGGCCCATCGGAATGAAAGATGTTAGGTTAATTGAACTTCCCAAGAAAAAAGTTGGTGTTTTTTCACATTTTCGTCCTGAGGGTGCTTGCCTAACTGGGTTAGCAATCATTGATAACATATCAGTACTTTCCCCTGAGGTTGTCAACTCTGCACGCTATATTCAACATCAGGCTTTTGGGGATGCTTGGGGAGGCCCGAACCAGGTGTATTTACTCTCTTCAGGCAATCTGGGCTGTATCTCGCACCACGGTTATCTGCAGGACCAGGAAGAGGGGGATCAGCTTCGTGTTTATTGCTGTACATCATTTGTTTTGGACCCCGATACGCTTGAAGTGCATGATTTTAAGATTATCGCAACCCATGATTGCTTTCCACCATGTATCCCAAAGCTTCCTCGTCTTGCGGATTGCGCGTTTGTATCGGGAATCACGATGCGGAAGGATGGAAAATGTAATTTATACAGTGGCATTGGCGATTCTCATACAGGCCGGGTAGTGATTGATTACCCCTTTGAAGGCTACGGTGAAATTGCCAGTGATTTGAATTTTTAATTTATATGAATATATACATACTAAATGGCAGTTGTTTTCTTTTTTTTTTTCTGCGATCGGAAATTTACTTATTTTAAGGTATTTTTTAATATATATATATATATATTATATTATTGTCAAAGTAATCTTTTTTGATTCCGCAAAGGTATGCATCAAGGGCTACTGAAAGTATTTGGGTAATTAATACACTTTATTACAGTGCTCAAAAGTTGAATTTACAATTATATGATGGTTAAAACATTGCTAAAGGTTAGATTAGAACTTTTTTTTCGTGATCTAGCCTAGAAAATTTTATTTTCGTTATGCCATTCTTTTTATTGACATTACAAACTGAATTATATCATTTACAATCAGCATCAAAAAACAAGAACTTATGCTCATATTTAGGTTTGATGGGAGTTACCTATAACTTACTTATTTTTTAACTTACAAAATCGCTTTCTTAAATATGAACAACTCTTTCCCATTTTTTTAGCTATAAAAGGAAAGCCAACCCATTATTAAAAAAAAAAAGAATCAAAAGGAAGAATTTGTGGGGGACCTTTGTGATCAAAAGAAAACTTAATTGTGGGACAAAACGAAGAGTTTATTAATATTCTTCAGAAATGGCTACCTTTGAGCAAGTAAAAAGTTCGAAGGTCGAATTTGAAAAGAATAAGACGATCTATGACAAGATTCTGCTAACCTTCAAGGGAGTGGATGGCGAGGATGTATACAATTGTTCCGTTCCTTTTATATATAAGGGCAAATGGCATCTTTTTGGTCGTGTAGAAAAGCGCGCGGAGTGGGCGAATTCATACGTACGCCTGTTCATTGAAACTGGTAAAGATGAGTATACACTGGTGTCGCATCAGATGATTTGGCAGTTGGAGGATCCGTACGTTTCAAATGTCAACGGGGAGATGATTATGGGTGGCACGCACGTGCGGAAAACTGGTGGAAAGGTGTTTAATTATTACTGCGACTTTTTCAGGGGAACACCAGAAAACTTAAACTACTATACGTGTGGTCCAGATAACATGAAGGATATTCGTGTGGTGATGCTGGCAAATCGTCGAATTGGGGTTTTTTCGAGGCCGAAGACCGCCACGCATGCGTACATAGGCTTTGCAATAGTAGATTGTATTGAGGATTTGAAGGCAAAAACAGTGGAGGAGGCGTTGCCGTTAAATGTGATTCATACGGGAGCTTGGGGAGGGGTGAATCAGGCGTATTTGTTGACGTCAGATAAGGTTGGTTGTATTAGCCACTACAGTTATATTGATCAAGACGAAACGGGCGGGCAACTCACCGTTTATGTGAATTATTCTTTTGTGATGGATCCCTATACGCGGGAGGTGGAGGATGCGAAGATTATTGGAACAAAAGGATGCTATCCACCCTGTCCGGCGAAGACACCGAAATTGGTGGATTGTGCTTTTACCTCTGGTATTGTTATGCTAGATAATGGAAAGTGTAATCTTTACAGCGGCCTCGGCGATGCTTACGTTGGACGAATTACCATTGATTATCCTTTTGAGGGGCACGGAAAAATTATAGACAACCTTCGTTTTTAGCTCTACTCACGCGATTTTTCAATTTTTTTTGACTATTTGATGAGGATAACTTCAAGAAACCACTATTCTTTTTTAATTGTTGCTTTGCTTTATCTTTTTTTTCCCGTTTAGATATTGAATATGCCTTTTTTAGTATGTTATTGTAGAAAGGGGAGAAAAAATAAAAGAAAAAAAAGAGTAGTGCTATCTTTCCTCCGGCATTCTTGATGTTGCAGTTTTTTCATATATTTTTTATTTGTATTTTCTTTCTTATTTTAAAACCAAGGTTTTATGATGATCCAAATAAATTTTCTTTAAAATATGTGTAGAGAGGATAATCATAAACAGAAAGAAACAATCAACAACGTACCAAAAATTGGGAAAAAATTATTATTAATTGACCACAATACATACATGCATATATATATATATATATATATATATATTGGTGTTTCCCTTATATCGACATCGTTCGACTTCCCACTAGCAAATACTAAGTGCAGGAAAAGAATACACACAAAAAGTAATACACATGTAGCATTTTTATTCTGAGTTTTGGGCTAGCAGCTGAATTTAGAACACTATTGAGGTATTTCGTTATTTGTACGAACATAGTAATCTATTTTTGTCATGGATGTAGGTGGGTGCGTAATGTAATGATAAACTGAGATACATTGAAACGATTCTCCGAAGTTATGACGAAGCGATTAGTGTGTTCCCTCTACTTTGATCTCTTTTCTTTTAGAAGTTTTTCTTTCAAATATTTCACATATACATGAATTTTTTCTGTGACGTATAATCCACACAATGAATATACCACTGCGAAAGAAACTCTTTGAGCGGGCTTTTGAGTATTCTGAAAGCGTTTTAGTCACTTTCAAAGGCGTTGATGGCTGGGATGTCTACAATTGTTCGGTACCGTTTTTATGGAAAGGCAAACGACACATCTACGGCCGTGTAGAGAAGCGCGAGGAGTGGGCAAGTTCACATGTGAGCCCATTTGTGGAAACCGGAAAAGACGAGTATACGGCCTTGCCGGGGTGTTCGTGGAGTTTGGAGGATCCTTTTATTCAAAAAATCAACGAGGAATTCATTCTCGGTGGCACCCATGTCGTGAAAAAAGGCCAAACGATCGTTTCTTACTGCGGGTACTTCTTTCGTGGCCCTTCCCCGACGGAGTTGCGTTTTTTCGCGTCGGGGCCGAAAAATATGAAAGATATTCGCCTGGTTCAGCTCGCGAGCGGGAAGGTTGGAGTTTTTTCCAGACCACGAGAGGCCTACAAAGCCAACGTTGGGTTTGTTGTTCTTGACCATATTGACGAGTTGAATGAAGAGGCCGTCAAACGGGCGACGCCGCTCGATTTATTCGAGGACGGGACCTGGGGTGGTGTCAATCAAGCTTACCTCCTCTCCAGCGGGAAAGTGGGCTGTATTGCGCATTACAGCTTTCGCAATACCGATCAACCTCACAATCCCCTTTTGGTCTACGTGAATTTCTCGTTTGTTTTAGATCCACAAACTTTAGCGGTTTCCGGTTCGAAGATTATTGGGACCCGAAGTTGTTATCCACTTTGCGCGGCCAAAAGGGATTATCTGATAGATTGCGTCTTTACATCTGGCATTGTTATGCGGCCGGATGGGCGATGCGATTTATACAGTGGGATAGGTGATACACACGAGGGTAGGATCGTCATCGATTATCCTTTCCGAAATGATGGCAAAATTGTGAATGACCTGTGTGCTGCCCAGACACAATCATCACTATAGTTTAATTAAAGTTTTTTTCCCTATATGTATATTGATATACATATATCTACATATTTATTTATGATAATGTTTATAAAAGGCAACATTTTTTTTCCATTTGACTATATAACTTAATGTCTGGTTTATTGGCGATTGTTGCATATTTTTTTCTGACTATATATATATATATATTAGTGTCTTTATTGACCTAATATTTGAAACATTTGATGCACTCACCGTCATTATTTGCGTTTTGTTGCCTCTAATGTTCAATTTTTTATTTTATTTTATTGCCCTTATATATAAAATATGAATGTATCTTGTCTTACAACTACTATTTTCGTATCCCCCCCCCGCTTACTTCATATTTAGCATTTTTGTTACTGTTTCTTTAACGTATTTCTACTTAAAGTCTAACAATCGATCGATATAATCCATATCTTAACTAATGTTTGCGAGCGCTAAATCTTCTTTTGATAACGCTAAGCGCATCTATGAGAGCGTGTTGGTGCATTTTAAAGGAATTGATGGGTATGACGTTTTTAACTGTACCGTACCGTATACCTACCAAGGCAAGGTTTATTTATACGGTCGTGTGGAAAAACGCACGGAGTGGTCAGAATCCCGCGTACGATTGTTTGTCCAAACTGGGAACGATGAGTTTACTCTCGTGCCCAATCAACTCAATTTTCACCTGGAGGACCCTTTTGTTTCAAAAGTACAGGATGTGATGCTTTTTGGCGGCACTCGAATCATTAAAAATTGTGGAAAAGTCTCTTTGCGGTACATCGATTTCTACAAAGGACCCGTGGAGCGGCCTTCCTATTATACCTGTGGACCGGATGAGATGAAATTCGTTCGTCTTGTGAACTTACCCAAAGGGAATGTGGGGATCTTTGCCATTCATACCAGTGCAAATCATTATACCCCTAGCTTCACCACAATTCCGAAGTTGGATGATCTGAATATGGACATTATTGTCAAGGCAACCCCACTTGAGCTTGACCAGTTTACGGAGGCTTCGTGCGCAGTACATCAGGCGTATTTATTATCCACGGGTAAAGTTGGTTGTATTTGCCATCACGCCTACGAGGAGAAAGACCAAGAAGGGTTCGTATATACCGTTTATGGCATTACTTCCTTTGTGCTTGAGCCTCGTACAAAAAAGGTGCTTGATATTCGCTTGATTGCTATGAGAAATTCCTTTCCGGATTGCTCGTCTAAGGTGCCACACGTAAGGAATTGCGCGTTTGCCTCTGGTATTGTTATGCGAGAGGATGGAAAGTGCAATTTATACAGCGGAATAGGCAATACTCATGAGGGAAGGGTTGTAATTGATTACCCCTTCGAAGGCCATGGTAGCCTTAACAAAGATGAATTGAAGTTTTAATACAAATCATACCGTAGCTCTTGTTTAAAGTTAATTAGCTATCATGTAAATTCCTTATTTAAAATGAAATGAGGAGGAAAATGTGCTATATGAGCTAGGTTGACACAATCAAAAGTATAACTTTTTGAATTTTATATACATTTATTTGCCACTTACGTATGTAAGATTTTTAAAATTTCTTATCAACAAACAGGAATGATTTATCATTGAATTTGATGAATTTTAAATATTGCAACCACTATTGGGTTAAAATACTTCTTAGGACTTCGTTATAAAATCTAAGGGGAGAGGGGTAAGCTCACAGCTATGAATAACAAGGCCCCATTTTCATATATTTTCGCCATTAGCCGCAGTATTTTATCCCTAAGTCTGTGAAGTAATAAACTGATGATATATTTTTATAGATATCCAACATCACAGGGTAAAAAAAGATAAGAGTTTATAGATGGATCTTCTAGAGTCTCCTTGAAGGAATATGAGACATTATTTCAATTTCTTTATCAATAAACATTCGAAAAACAGGACAGCACTGTTGAAGAGTTATAAATGGAAGTATTTATTCATTACCAAGTTTCAATTTCATTTTTGAAAGGATAGAAAGCGATTGCGGTGAAGGAAACATTTACCAATAGGAAATACAATAATGACAGTCCTAAGAATGCGCTAACGCAAGCTTCCGAAAAGCGAACCAAACAGAGTGATCTCTAGTGACACCAAAGCGGTGGTATAATAACTACATATGGAATCTAAGTGTTAATACATTTATTATTACATTGTCAAGTCTATTTTGCTGCCATCGTACGCATACATTTACAAGTAGTGACGAAGGTGGTGAGATAAGGGTCTAGAAGTGTAAAAATTCTCGCTTTGTGTAGATGCCGTTCAACCCTTCCTTCCTCCATTCCTTTTTCTCCCCTTTTTCCTATTACTAGTCAGCCCCAAGTTCGACTTACGATGCCAACGTTACAAGTATTAAAGGAGGCCAAGATCGTCTTTGAAGAGAAAAAGCAGATCTATGAAAGCGTGTTGTTAACCTTCAAAGGTATTGATGGCTGGGATGTCTACAATTGCTCAGTGCCGTTTTTATGGAAAGGCAAACGACACATCTACGGCCGTGTAGAGAGGCGCGAGGAGTGGGCGAATTCTCACGTACGCCTTTTTATGGAAACCGGAAAAGACGAGTATACAGTGCTCCCGGAAGGGATGACATGGCTTTTGGAGGATCCCTTTATTCAAAAAATCAACGGGATGCCAATATTTGGTGGCACAAGGATTCGCAAGAGCGTTGGGCGGTTGGTTTCATTTTATTGTGATTTCTACAAGGGCAATCCGGAGATCGGGCTTTACTTTACGACTGGTCCGGATAATATGAAAGATGTTCGGTTAGTGCAAATGCAGGATGGGCGGATCGGGATTTTTACACGGTCGAGCACCGATATCTACCCCTGGATTGGGTTTACCATCATTGATCAGATTGAGGGTTTCACGCAAAAGGCCGTGGAATCGGCAGAGCCTTTTAACGTGATGCATCCTGGGGTGTTGGGAGGCGTCAGCCAAGCTTTTTGTTTATCCAGCGGAAAGATCGGCTGCATCGCACGATGTCACTACGATTCAAAGGATGAACATGATAAGGCATTGTCGGTGTGCGTGAACTATTCCTTCGTTTTGGATCCTGAAACGCGTGAGGTGGATTTGGAGCGTATTATTGGGACGAAAACGTGCTATCCAGCCTGCCCGACTAAGTCGGATCATCTCGTCAATTATGTTTTTTCATCTGGTATTGTAATGCGGGAAGACGGGAAGTGCGATCTTTACAGCGGCATTTGTGATACCTCACAGGGACGTATTACGATTGACTACCCCTTTGAGGGCTACGGCGAGATAGTTGACAATTTGGACTTTTAGGCCTTCCCCTCCCTTCAAAAGAAATTATCAAGTAGAGAAACACTGACAATGCATTGAAGATTCAGGATGCATACATACATATATTTATAACCGTTATTAGCATTTTCTTCCCTAATGTGAATAGAATTGCCTCTACTTAAGTGTAGGGGAAAATAAATGGGAGGAATAAATTATTGAATGTCATGGGTTATTTGAAAAAGGACAAATGGTAATTTGTCTTCTGTGTTTCACAATCCTATTTTTATTATACCGCATGCTCTTTTATAATAAGATGTTTCTCAAAAAAAAATGAGAACAAAGGAAGTCGTAGAACCTCTATACAAAATACGCATGTACACTTATAAATCAAAAGAAATCTGAGATAGCTCAATAGAAAATGAATAAAACAAATAATTCAAGTACGTGTGGCAAAGCGGTTGGCTTACTCTGATAATATCGATTACTAGCTGCATCCAAATGTCAAAGGTAAAATCAAGAAGTTAAATTGAATTTTATCCCTTTACCTGTTTTATTTCCTTTCTTTTTGTATTTATTTCAACAAAGATATGGTTACTATTCTTGCCTGCTCATCGTATTGGAGTTTTTTTCTGATGCAAATTTTTGAAGCTGACAATTTTTGAATTTTTAGCTTGTGTAAATGGTGTGGCAAGTATAAACAGCAAGATAGACGTGATTGCGGAAAATATGCGAGAAACAAGCAAACAAAAAAATAGCTAGTTAAAGTCTACTACAACAGGGTGCCATTAGTTCAGCAAAAGGAAAGATATACACAAATAAAATTTATTACTACTACTTTTTAAAATTTATTTCTTTCCGTGGAAGACTACTAGGCTAAATAATTGAGGTGCTTCTCTTTTTGGCAGTGTACTTGTGGTGGATAATCACGTTGTATGTCTTCTTTTTTAATTCCTAATTACCTTCACTGGTTGATGGAAAACTTGGCAGTTTTTTTCTTGTTAATGATACCGTAGTGATGATGCAGAAAAATATCCAGCTACTTTTTTTAAAATTAATCCATTACGCTCCGTGTTACAAAAATCTTTATTGATTATGAAGCCATAATCAACTCTTAATATATCTATAATTATTTGGTCGTCTGTTTTTTATGTAAGTGACAGTCAATTAAGGTTTCCTTTTCAAGATTGTTATAGTTTTACTAGCAACCTAATGTGGATAAAAAAACACAAAGAAGAATTTGAAGTGTCTAAAAAGCCATATGAAAGCGTGTTGTTAACCTTCAAAGGCGTTGATGGCTGGGATGTCTACAATTGCTCAGTGCCGTTTTTATGGAAAGGCAAACGACACATCTACGGCCGTGTAGAGAGGCGCGAGGAGTGGGCGAATTCTCACGTACGCCTTTTTATGGAAACCGGAAAAGACGAGTTTACGGTGCTTCCAGAGTGCTTATTGGAGTTGGAGGATCCGTACATACAAAAAATCAAAGGGGCGTTTATTTTTGGTGGTACCCACACGAGGAAAACCCAAAATGACATATTCAGTTACTACGGACACTTTTTCCGAGGCTTTCCAGAGGATCTTCACTACTTCACATCCGGGCCGAATTACATGAAGGATATTCGATTAGTAGACCTAAACGACGGGAGGATTGGAGTTTTCTCCCGTAGACGCGACGAGGAGGCGATTTATGTCGGTTTTACCACTATTGATAGTATTGACCATTTGAGTACCGAGGTGATTGCCGCGGCGACGCCGCTCAATTTATTCGAGGATGGGACCTGGGGTGGTGTCAATCAAGCTTACCTCCTCTCCAGCGGGAAAGTGGGCTGTATTGCACATTACAGCTTCTCTGATAAGTCGCCAACGTGTGAGGCATGGTCCGTTTACACCAATTTCTCCTTTGTGTTTGATGTCGAGACCCGACAGGTCATAAATCCAAAGATAATTGGGACCAAGAGCAGCTATCCTACTGCACCGGCTAAAATTCCTTTGCTGGAAGACTGTGTGTTTTCCTCTGGGATTGTAAAGCGAGCGGATGGCAAATATGACCTCTACTCTGGTGTAGCGGACACATGCCAGGGCCGTATCACCATTGATTTTCCGTTTGAGGGATATGGCGAGATAGTAGGGGATCTTAATTTTTAGATTTAAGAAGGAAACTAATGTATTTATATGGAAATGATTTTTTTTTATATTTGTTATTATACAACATCAAAAATATAACTTGACTGAGTAAAAATAGTGATTATAAATGTGTTAATATCACATTAGACTATTTGGAAAACGTACAATCCATACACAAAATGTTTTACGTTTAAAACAAGAGCGAAAAATGTATTTGAGGTACGTATAAAAAATGTATAAATATGCGATTTTATCACAAAAATATTATATTTATTGCTTTTTTTAAATTCCTAAATTCAAGAAAAAAGATGATACTAATCGTACAATTTAGAGGGTAGTTTAAGGCAATCTATGTGCCCATTGTCCAATGCCCAGTCCAGGAGGCTAAGTATCTAATAGAGTTATAACAGTTTTATAAAGTTTTGAAGCGTACCTCAAGATAAATTTTGTAAGCGTTTTCTGAACTTCATCTTTGACCTGCTGTCCTACCTCGTGACCACTGTTTCCATATTCGTGATATTAGCCATTTTCTCCGGGGTTGGGTGCGTTCTTTCCTTCCCAGATGTTACCTTTCTGATATTGGTATTTCTTTACGGCACGTCGAGCCTGACCATGGCTTATGCTTTCAGCTTCCTCTTCAAGGACCACTCCACGGCACAGAATACGGTGCTGGCGGTATTCATATTAACAGGAATCGTACTTTTGTCTGCCACATCACTGATGTCAACACAAGAAAGCATTCGTTCCATTACATTT